TTTTTCACGACCAACTCCTTCACCCTCTTTCTACTTTCAACATACTCCTTCCATCCTGCATCTGTTTTCCCGGCCGCATATTTTGCGTGTGACTCTCTACGTACTCGAATTGCTTGCTTGATTTCTTCGTCCCACCACTTCACTGCTCTCTTACAAACTATCAACTTTCTACCTAGAACTCTGCTTGCTGTTGTGTTTACCAGCTCTTCCCACCCTTCTATGATTCTAGACCCGGCCTGGTCCCGGCCTTCGGCATCCTTCGGTGTACCCATTGCCTCCATCAACTCCGAGAGTTTCTTGTCGTTTATAGCCATCTCTTCTTGGAACTCTACCCTCGTTTCTTCTACTTCTAGCTTATCTATTCTCCATCTGTACATTTTCCTGCGTCGCCTACTCTGTATGACTCTCTTCTGTTGTAGGGCTGTCCACACCAACGCGTGGTCTGTAGTGCCTACATCCGTTGTGCATACTCGTACTTCCGTCTCTTTTCCCCCATTCTCTACGACTATATAGTCAAGGATGGAGCGTTCTCCTTTTTTGAAACATTGCCTAGTCCATTCCGGTTCTGTCTTTCGTACTCTACCGTTCAACACCTTCATCTCGCTACTGTCAAGGAACCTCAGCATTTCTTCCCCGTTTTTGTTCGTGGCTCCCTCCCCGTATTGCCCTATGGTCCCGTGTGGGTTCGTGGTTCGCCCGATTCTTGAATTGAAGTCCCCAACTAGAACTACTTCTCCCTTTCTCTTGAAGTTTTGTACATCCGCTGCTACCTCCTCGAAACCTATCCTGATGTCTTTCACCATATTCTTCGACTCTGGTGGCATATATACATTTCCTACGAACAAGTCCTTTCTTCCCCGTTCCCCTGGTACCCTTATCCACATGCTTTCGTTGAATTTGGTGTCGCTGATCACCTCAATTATGTCGCACATGTGCTCCTTGACTAAGAATCCAACTCCCCCCTCCCCTCTACTCTTGATTTTCTGTCCTCTCCTCATTTTACCTATCCATGTGTAGCTTCCCACTTCTTTTCCTATTTCTCCCCCGTCCTTTTCCCACGACTCTTGGACTCCGACTATGTCCAGGTCTTTTTCGGCCGCTTGCTCGGCAATTTCGAGTCTTTTACGCTCATCTGTGGCAAATCCGCATACATTCCAAGACCCTATTCTGATTTCCTTACTCCTACTTTCTACTTTCCTGTGCCTTTCAGGATTCCTTTTGTCCCTCATTTGCCTTCCCTTCTGCCTTATCCTATCGCTGCCCCCCCCTTCTCCTACTTTGGCTTGCTTTCCCTTTTGACCCTTTCGGGCCTCCTGCCCCCCTTTGTTTTCAGCCAGCCTTGGGCTACGCCTTACTTCCTGAATCCTATTTGCTATGCACACCCTCCAACCTAGTCTCCTCACCCACGCCGACATCTTCTCTACTTCTAGTCTTTCCCATTCTGCGCTTACTCTCCTTCCAAACGTGATTCTAAAGTGGTTTCCTTCCCTTTCTACCCCCCCCCTTGCGAAGCAATATAATCCTACTTCTTCACACCTACTTTTGAACTCCAACCTTGTCATGTCGCTATTGACCCCAAATATCAACACTACCAGTACCTCACCCACGCCGACATCTTCTCTACTTCTAGTCTTTCCCATTCTGCGCTTACTCTCCTTCCAAACGTGATTCTAAAGTGGTTTCCTTCCCTTTCTACCCCCCCCCTTGCGAAGCAATATAATCCTACTTCTTCACACCTACTTTTGAACTCCAACCTTGTCATGTCGCTATTGACCCCAAATATCAACACTACCAGTACTGCACCTTTCCATTCTCTCCTTCTCCACCCTTTGTGCCTCGTCGTCTCCCTCCCTATCTCTTTCGAGACTATCTCGTTCTTTGTGTTTGAAGTGGGATGCTTTCAAATTACTGGGACTTCCCAATCCTAGTACTTGTTGAGGGTCCGGTGTCTTTCAATTCTTTTGCCGGCTCACCGACACTAAAAAGTGCCTCCAACACGGGCTCATAGCCTGGAGCCAAGTTCAACACCCTTAGCACAAGTACCCCAAGTTTGTGCCAGGCGATCTGCATGGTAACCAACCCAAGCGTCCCACGACCGTTTCTTCTCTCAACTTGCTCCAGCTGCTGTACTGGGTACTAGCGGGGAGGGGGGGGGGGGGGGTAACGAACTGGTCACGACTTTTGCCTTGGTCGTTTGACCCATTGGCCACGCATCGTTGTCGATAGAAGCCCTACTACTTCTCCTCGTAGTAATGGGAGGTCAGAATAGTGCATCATTGCTGCCGTAAAGTGGGGGTCCACGAATAAGACGGTAATGGGGCAGCTGACAATAAATGACCGCCATTTATGGGGCAACCGCCAAACTCAATGTGTAGAACAACTTGACCATTCCGTCTATGCCAGCCAATATCACCCGCCCAACACAGGGCCACCGCCATACACAGACCGCCTTTTATTCGGGGACCCCGACTGCTGTACTCCAAATCAAGAAGCGGACCGGTCACCTGCGTTTCTCGCCGATGCCACACGTAGACCTTGCAGTCGTCGCTCCCTCCGAACACCAACCCTTCTTCCGCACCAAGGGTCGCCCGCAAGAAGCTGCTGCTCGTGTTCTGGTGGCCCTGATTATTGTGTTCCAAATTACGTTCACGATGAACAAGAACAAAAAATCCAGAAGGAATTCGATGTATTTGTAGAGTATATACTTCAAACTACAAAGACTACCCATTGGAGGTAAACGACAGATAGTCGAAGGGAATGTGTCGAAGTGTTTATAGTGAGTGCAACACAAAAAATGGCTGGATCTTTTACGTAAAAGCGCGGGCGCAGAACTAGCTAGCTACAAGGAGTCTTCAGACCGATAACTTGCAGGCAAAATTGTAATTTCCTTCTCGCCCTGCGGCGGAGCGAGGAATCAAGGTTTTTTCGCCTATCGTGGTGCTCTCTGAGTCATCTCGCACCGATGATTGACGCGCTGGCACCCGTCTCTCTGTCTGTCTCTCTCCCTCTTTTTATCTGTCTGTCTGTCTCCCTCTGTCTTGTCTTCTCTCTCTCTCTCTCTCTCTCTCTCTCTCTCTCTCTCTCTCTCCCTCCCTCTTTTTATCTCTCTGTCTGTCTCCCTCTGTCTTGTCTTCTCTCTCTCTCTCTCTCTCTCTCTCTCTCTCTCTCTCTCTCTCTCTCCCTCTCTCTCTCTCTCTCTATGTGCCTCTCTCTCTCTCTTTTTGTACAATCTGTATTTGTCTCTCTCCCTTTTTTCTCTTTCTGCCCCCCCCCTCCCCCTCCCCCCACGTCACCTTGTATCGCAGCAGGGGCCGGCCCATGCGAACGTCCCACGTGCGCACAGGCCCGTGCCGGGAGCTCGCCAGAAGGTACATGCCGTCCATCGTCAGGTCCACTGACGTCACCGCGCCCACCGCTTGACTGCGCACAGCAGACAGGACAGGTATTGGTTCATGTGCCAACGAGTGGACAGCATCATGGCCGATGAGGACAAAAACGACGAGCTAATAATGCCCGCAACATGGGAGAAAAAAAAAAAAAAACGTGACGGCATCCTGTGATGCCCTACGACCGTTTTTTGCAATCGGAAAAGACACAAATGTAACGAGTGAAGTGGTCACAACAACGGCGGAGAGAAAAATAAACAAAACGCGTGATGTGATGCCCCGACAGTTTTTTCGACCGAAGAGGCATGAAAACGAGTAACAGTCGCACCAGGGAAAAAAAAAAAGAAGACAAGACGGCATGCGACGGGCCGGCTGTTTTCTTCATTGGGGGTACATCTCTCGGCAGGGAGAGCGGCGCATCGGTAGGGAGCTAGTTGCACCGCACGGTCCGCGCTGACATCCGCACGACGGCCGATTGGTTGCCGTATGATAAACGCGGGTTGACTACAAATAAACAAATTCAGCCCGGCCCCCAACCGGTTTCCCACTTACTGCGAAGACTTCAACGCATCCCCTTAGACTTTGACTTAGACTTTGACTTTGACTTTGGTATCATCTCGAATGGGCAGTCTCCTTTCCGTGAGTATAAAATAGAGCATTTGCCAAAGAAACGCCAACGCAAGTCGGGGCCGGCGGCGTTGCTTCCATGAACGGGTCGACTCCACGGCACACGCGTCTCCCTGCGCAATTTCGCTTGCCCAACCGCACAACCTTATCGTTACTCTTACACTTACAAAAAACACGACAAATGATCATCTTCCACAAACAAGAGTCCGGGATAGATGAGCAAGGAGTCTCATACACACAGTTGTTGTAATTACGACCTGTCAGCATCTTTCAGCAGTGTCTCTCGCGTTCGCCCGTTGCTGTTGTTGTTATTATTGCCATTACGGCCTTTCCTTTTCCCCGTGCGTGTGGATGGAGCGCGTGCACAGCAAAAAGGTTATGCGGCTTTATCTTATCTTATCTTATTATTATTATTTTATTTTTTTTGTTACCTCAGCGTCTTGACGCACACCCCGCTCATCACGTCCCAGAACTTGATGGCGCTGTCCCTGCCCCCGCTCACCAGGAGGTTGCCGTTAGGATTGCTCACGGCGTGCAACACCCCGGCCTCGTGCCCCGCAAACACTTTCACCTCCTAGCCAATCAACAACCAAGACAGCAGTGGAAACGCGGCGTAACGAAGGAAGTTCGGTTCGAAACGGCGGGTGTTAGGGTCCATCCGGAAGCACACAGCAGTCGCTACCAAGGGTTTGACGGCCAACTTTTGGAACAGCAGCAGGCGTGACAGCATGTTGTTGTTGTTGTTGGTGTTTAATTATTGCTGTCTTGACGACAACAACAGCAGTTCCGATCCGCTCGGTACCTTCAAATCCGGTCCTCATCCAACTGACTGTCGCGGAAGCCTTCGTTCCGTGGCCACAAGCCAACCTACTACCCAGAGAGGGGTGCGCACCTTCGTGCCATAGAACCGAAAAAAAAAATTAAAAAAGATTCAGAAAAAAAGTCCCGTACGATGCGAAAACTGGATTGATAGCCTACGCAAAGAAAGTATTGTAAGTTTCACACGAAAAAAGACTAGGCAGGGAGCACGCAGACCCCCAACACCAAGTCCGACGTAGCCGATTCTGCCCTTTATCCATCATGTATTCTTACGTAGAAAAACCTGTGTAGACGACTGTTCTGCGAAAACGACGCGTTGGTACACGTGGGATGACCGGAAAGACGCTCATCACGCCTCATGAGAGTTTGTGCGTGCGGTTTCGTCCTATTTTATTATGGCGACACTCCCCCCATTTTTCGTGGTGAGACGTGTACTACACCTTTCAGTGAACGTAGAGTACTACACTTTTCAGTGTATTTTTTCATACAACTACAACTATCCAGGGTCACACAGGAGGGGGTAAACACTGGAGTACAGAAAAAAATTCTGAATTGAGGCCATACAAACACAGGTGAGGGATTTGGCCGGGAACTTCAAAACGAGTACCCTGCACAATTCAGAGCATGAACACAACTTGAGATGCTTCTCATCTTTGTCGCGAGATTTCACCGGCCTCATACAGGGCCACCGGCCTTATTTATTGCGGCCGTATGCAGAGACCACCCCTGACCCTTATGTTGTACAGGGACCTGCTGCTGTACTGCTGGTGGACCATTTACTCCATCTGCGGTTGCTAGCGCTTCTTGAACTAATTATCGTCTTAGTGCACCATCACGCCCCCAAAACAAAACGCCTCCTCCCACCCTCCCCATCCTACCGTCGCGCATGAAACGAAACACCCGTGCAACGGCTGTGCACAAAATACAACCGCAACCCCCCCCGAAAACGGAGCATCTATCCCATACTACAGCTGTGTTCCCAACGCTACGACACCCTCCCCCCTCCTCCCCAATCCACGCGCACTCCCCCCCCACCATCACGCACGAAACGGAGCATCCTTGCTCTACTACAGCCGCGTACCCCTCACTACGACCCCCCCCCGAAAACGGAGAATCGATACTATAGTACAGTCGTGCACCCAACACTACGACACCCCCTTCCTGCTCCCAGGACAACGTCGGCGACGACACGGAATCTCTCCTTCTCTCTCCTTCTGCTGCTG